CTGAGGAGGGGCCCAGGGTGGGGAGTGTCAGGGCGGCCGAGGGAGCGGCCGGGAAGGGGGGCCGGAGGGGGGCGGGGGCGCCCCCCGCTCGCGCCCACCGCGCCGCGGGGTTCCCGGAGGGGCTGAGCGGGAGGACCCCACGCCGGGCGCGGTCTCCCAGGGTGCCCGCGCCGGTCGGGGAGGGTGCGGGCCCCGAGGCCGGCGGGCGCCCCCTCTGCGGGCGAGGCGGAGGCGGAGGCGGCGCCCGACCTGTGGCCCGCAGTCCTGGGAGGGCGCCGCCCGGGCCCCATAAGAGGCCGCCCGGCGTCCAGGGCCGCACGTGGTCAGACGCGCTTTCCTGCCCGCGCCGTTCAGCCTCCCGCGGGCGGGTGGGCGCAGGCAGACCCGGTCCTGGGCGCAGTTCAGTGGCCGAGGGGCAGAGGGCGGCCAGGGTTCGCTGCCCAGGCCCGGTCCGGTGATATCACCCGGAAACCTCTCCAGAAGGAGCCCGTTGGAATTGGAGGAGGGGGTCTCTGGAAAGGGGGCGCCCCTCCCTCCACGCAGCGCCCCCAGGAGAGGCCGGGCCTTTACCCCTCACTGGTGTGGAGCCAGCCAGCCTGGCGTCTGGGATGATCCCGGCCACAACGAGGGCTTTGAGGGGCCCCCTGGAGTGGGAGGGGGCAGATGGCCTGAATGGCAGCCTGTCCCTGAAGAGGCCCAAGGCGGGTCCCACCCAACCGCAGTGCGGAGCCTTCTGCCCGGTGGCTGCCCGCAGGATCCAGGCCTCCCGTGCTGCCCGCCCCCACCCCCACCCCGACCCAGGCTCCAGCGCCCTCCCCCCACAACCCCTGACATGCCCCCGCCCAGGGCCCGTTAACCTGGCTGCTGAAGGAATAACAGCGAGAATGCCGCTGCTGCCAGGTCCTGACCCCTCCCCCATCACCCATCTAGTGGCCATCCTGCCCGGAGTGGTGGGCTGGAGCCCCCACCCAGAGGCCTGCCTGTCTGTATGGCCTGTGCACCCCCAGGCTGGGGGTCAGCAATTAGCACCCACAAGAGAGGCTGTGAGGGTGGGGCAGCAAGGTGGAAGAAGCCAGAGTGCAGCCAGGTGGGGGTCCTGGAAGGCTGCGGGGGGGTGTGTGAGCTGAGCGCATGGCTGAGGGGGGGTCCCCAGAGCCAACTTTGAGGATCTGGGCAGGTGAGGCGTGAAGAGCCAGAGAGGTGGTGGCCCACAGAGGGTGGCCCTGGACGGAGGGACCTGGGGAGCCAGTGGAGTGGGGGTGGGGGTGGGCAGGCTTTGGTTGAGTACTGCTGGGGGACAGTCCCACACTCCCCCAGGAGCCCTCACCGAGATGCTGGCAGGTGGGAGTTGGGTGGTGAGTGAGCACAGAACTGTGGCAGGGCCTGGGTGGGCACGGCTGTCGGCTGGGGGTGGGAGAGGTGCTGGCAGTGCAGGAGGGCAGGTGGGGAGGGGGTGGACTGGACATGGGGTGTGAAAACAGGAGCAAGATTTGGGGGATGGGAAGGGCCTGTCCCCAGCTGCTGGGACCTCACCTTCAGGCTCTGCAGGGATGGCCTCTGCTGAGGGCTGCCATGCCAGGCTGTGCCCCTTCCCGGTAAATAGTCTCCTGGAGGTCAAAGGTCAGCCTCTCACCACAGCCTGGGCTTCTCTGAAGGGTCACTTCTTTCACACTCCCAGGGGTTCAGCTGAGGACCCACTGCCCCTCTGGGAATCAACTGGACAGGCTGAGGCAGGGCAGCCTGGGCCGTGAAGAGCAGAGGGCCCGCCTCTGCCCCGTAGGCAGTCCAGTCGTCATAGCTGTGCCTGTGGGGCGTTGGGAGGGTGCCGCACTAGATGAGCAGAGTCTGGCTGTCGGGAAAAAGGAGGATGATGTTGTGGGGGGCTGCTTTTGTCCCCTGTTGCTCTGGGAAGGGATAGCAGGTTGGGGGAGAGACCGGGAGGACTTCATGATCAGATGAGCCAGCTCCCAAGAGGGCGAAACCCCAGCCTGGTGGCTGCTGTGTCCCAGACAAACGCTGGCTGGAGGGAATGACGGCTAACCCCATGTTCTCGGGCCCACACAAGTGGCCCCGCCCCTCAGGACCTGCTGTCCTCCCTCTTGGATTAAGCGGAGATATGGCCTGGGGGGACATGCTGGCCCAAGACAGGACAGAAGGGATCCTGGCCCAAGACAGGACAGAAGGGACTGCATCCCCGCAGGGGCCTCAGGACCCAGCAGCATGTCAGGGCAGGTAGAGGGAGCCTGTCGATAGCCGAGCCTTTGAAGTCATAGCGCTGGGAGGCCCCTAGAAGCATGGAGGCTGGTAAAGAGGGCAGACGTGGAGGAGGGTCCGGTGACCCTGAGGACACCAGGAGGCCAAGGCCTCAGGAGCATGCTGGGAGAGGCACCAGCATCGTTGGGAAAGTTGGTGGGGGCTCCCGCAGGCCCTGCTGGTAGTGGGAGAGGCCGTTGCAGAAATGACAGTGATGGGGTGATGGCGCCTGGCTGGCGGGCCGGGTAGACACAGCTCTCGAGCAGCAGAACTGGAGCTGGACCCAGGGCCTGAGGTGCCGGGGGTTGTGGTTAGCAGAACACGGTGTTTCCAGGACTGGACAGGAGCCAAGGATGCGTGACCAGGAGGTCTGAATGAAAGGTGGTGACCCTTCACCCCGTTTCCTCAAGCAGGTTTCAGACCCAGAACCTACTGACTTGGGGGGGTGGGGGCTGGGTCTGTACTACCAGACAAGTCTGCACCACCAGACACATAGCTGAACAGGGAGGGGACTGCTGGACATGGGGGTGATCTGGAGGTACCTGGAGGCATTATTGTGGCTCCCTTGTTAGAGTGGGGAGCTCCCAGGAGCCGGGGAACAAATGGAATTCTGGCCAGGTCTGACCCCTGACCTTGAGCCTTGAGTCCACCCATCTCCCCAGTGGTTATTTGCTCAGGCTACAACAGACAAGTGGAGCAGACACACTTGATGGTGGACATCACTTTCTTGACCATCATGGACAAGTCCAGTGGAAGCCTCTGCAACTGCCCCCCACCAAGATAGGAAGTCAAAAGCAATGTGACACCCTGAGGTGGTTAGTGACGCAGTGAGAGACCTAAGGATGTGAGGTGGTGGTCCCATGATACCCGTTTACTCCACCAGTCTGACCACAACAAAAGGCAGGTGATGGGTCCAGGCTGACGGTGGACGGCTGCAAAGGCCTTCCAGGCCGCAGCCAGACATGGCGTCTCTGCTAGAGTGGGATTCAGGTGTGTGGAGCGGACACTGACAGGGGCGCCTTCTCTTCCCGCCCCATCGGAAAGGAAGACCAGGAAGAGTGAACAAGTGTCCGTTCAGTGTCCCCGTCCCCAGTCCCACAGTCTCTCCACTGTGGCTGACAAGGGGCCCGGCCGTTCTGGGAGGGGGTGTCCAGGGCACTGGAGGGTGTTGAGCAGTATCGCTGGCCTTTACCCAGTTGAGCCAGTAGCACCCCCTCACCTAGTCATGACAAATGTCCCCAGACATCAGCAAGTGTCTCCTGGGCCGCCTGTTGAGAACTGCCAGCTTACCAAATATTTGATTCTGTGACACAGGATCCCGTGTAAAGACACATCAGACCAAGGGCCCACTTTACAGCAAAGCTGAAGCAGTTCTGGGCAGTGACCACGGGCCCTCACATACCACACTTCGAGAAGCTTCTAGACCGACCAGGCACGTAACAGCCTTCGGAAAGCCAGGTAGAAGGCTTCTGAAGACCTGCCTGTGGCAGCATCCCCAAGGACCACTCCTGGGGTCAGGACCCCGGGGGTTGCAGCAGCCCTGGGGCCTGACCTCAGTTCTGCAGAGCCAGGGTCCTGGCTGCCCCGAGGGACATGGCAAAGAGCCCCAGCTGGGCCCCAGGCCCTTGTGACGGAGCCCAGCGGGTAAGCAGAAGCTCCTCCGGAGAAGGGGTCCTTGGCCCTGTCCTTGGCCCTGTCCCCGGCCAGCAGTGGGGGCGGGCTGCTGACGGGTAGAGAGGACGGTGTCTGCATCCAAGACCCTGAGGAGATATGTGAAGGGGCCGAGTGCAGTGGGCACTCTGCCTCAGTGCTCCGTGGCCCCCTCCCTGGCGCGTCGGAGGTGGGGTGAGGGAGAAGGCACAGCCGCTGGCTGGAACTGGGTCACCCCAAGGTCGTTAGGTCCGTGGTCCCCTGCTTGCCTGTCCTATCTGCAGTCGTGATTCTGGACTCAGGACATTCCTGTAAACACTGGGGGCTGGGGACAACCTCGGGACACCCTCCCTGGGGACCTGGGCCTGCCCAACCCAGGAAGTCACCCCACACTATCCCCCTTCCCACTACACTCCAGTGGGACCCCAGGGGCCCAGGCTCCATCCAGGCAGAGGTGTCGACTGGGTGGTCCCACAGCGCCACCTGCTGGTCACGCTCGCCCCGACCCAGGAGAGCAGTGGCTGCATCAACGGTCCCTATCCCCTGTGGTGTGGTCCCCACTGTCCGTCCACACTGCCCACCTGAGGCTGGAGGGTAGGCTGCAGGGCCAGCAGGGGTTGCTGCCAGAGGCAGGGATTCCCCCGCGTCACTCCCTGTGGGAGGGCGAGAGCTCCTGCAGAGACACCAACATTCAAGCCCCCAGAACCTACATCCCTGCACCTCGGAGCTTGGACCCCCAGCCACCGTGGTCCCAGGGGCCCTGCCTGCACCCCTTGCCCCTGGCCTGGCCTGGTGAGGTTCTGCTGGGGTCAAGTCCACCCTTCCTGCCTGATTGCCACCCCTGTCCAAACCCCTTGCTCCTGGCCTTGGGCCAGGTTGGGAGCACCCTCCCGTATACAGATGAGGAAACAGGCTGGGGTCTCGCCACCACTGGCTCCAGGCCTCAGCCTGAGAGCGGGGAGCCAGCATCCCTGCTACGTGCAGAGACATGCTTCTGGGGACGGGTAGAGGCTTCCAGAGCGGAGCAACTGGGGAAGGGGGCAGAGCAGTCTGGTGAGGGGGGACAGTTGAGCAGAGGCCCCAGTGGAGGGTGGAAGGAGCAAGAGATGCCAGCCCCTGGGGTGTTCCCAGGGGAAGGGTTCTGAAGTGGGACCATGCTTGGCACACTGCGGGAACCAGCTCAGCCTGACTCTTGCATTGCTTTGGGGGTGGGGGGGAGGCAGAGAAGGGGCCAAGGGCACCCGAGGGGGGGTCACGGAGCAGAGCGCGGTGAAGTCCAACGGCACCCTGGGCCTCTGGCCTCAGCTGCTGTCAGCACGAAGGTGCCCCCCCGGCTGTGGCCCCCCCAGGCCCATGGAGGTGGTCTAGGGTAAGCTGTGGCACAGCAGGAGGGCAGGGTAGGTGCCCACAGAGGACCCTTCCAGCCCCTGGCAGTCCAGTGGGGCCGAAGTGAGCCGGCTGCTGGGCTCAGGCTGGGGGTCCTGTTTCCTGGTGTCCAAAGCTGGGCCGCCCTCTCCCCTCTGCCAGGTGACTGCCCAGCCCCTCAGGACACCTACCGATGCCCCTGCTCTCACCGAGTGGAGTGGGGCAGCTGCCCTGGTGACCCTGCCATGCTCAGGGAGACAGCGCCAACTCTGTGGCCCTCTCCTTGAGGACCTGAGACTCTCTGGGTTCCAGCTGGAAAATGGGGGTCAGCTCCGTACTCAGGCCGGAAAGCCCTGCCTGGAGGATGGCTCTGGCACCCTAGGCCCTGGCCCAAGTGCCAGACCGGAGCCTGCCAGCGACTGCCCCATATGGCCTGAACCTCCACTGGAAGCCCGCCCTGGGTCACCCAGTGCCACCCTTCCCACCTGTTCTGGATCTGGACTCGCCTGTACCACCTCCTCCCTGAGGCGCCCCTGGCCAGGGGCCTCCCTTCTGGGCCTCAGTCCCCTCATCCACCTGTCAGCACCTCCGGCAGCACGAGGCTCTGTCGCACCCACCTGACACCGCCCTGCCCGCCCCCAGCTCTCACGCTGCTCTCCCTCCTCCAACCCGCACCCCCAGGCCCCGGGTTTCCTGGGAGCCCCCCAGTTGCAGGGCTCCATCCCCTCTCCAGGCTCAGAGGGACCCACAGCCCTGACCCCCACCTCCTCCCTGCCCCGTATTTCCCTTCTTAGCCACGACCATCACTCCTCTGGTGCCGACTTCTCCCACCGCCACGTTCTGCCCCGTGGGCTGACCCAGCCCCTGCCCCTCGGCCCGCACCCTGCTGCGCTGTCTCCAGCTGGGTGCTCACTGTCCCCCAGCGTGGACTCCCCAGTAGGTCTGGACAGGACAAGAGCTGCCCCCCCTTCCTGCTCTCCTTGCTGAGCCAACGACTCCATGTTCCCTTTAGGAATTCGGGGACACCTAGCCTGAGACTGGAAGCCCTCTGTCCCCCACCACGGAGATGGACACACAGTAAGGGAGGCCAGCTGAGGCGCAGAGATGCGGGGAGCCCGAGGCACGACTGCCTGAGTGGGCTGTGGCCGGCGCTGTCGGCCCACGGGGGCTGTGGTTACCCTGCCATCACCCTGCCTGGCAAGAACCCATGGGAGTCCTGTCTGCAGGTGCTCCACCCCAGGGCCCAAGTGAGAGGGACCTCCCTGGGTCCGAGAGCACAGGTGCAGTGCGAGGTGACATGTGGATGCCATGTTCCTGGGTGGCACGACAGTGCAAGACAGGCGGCTGCCCCTAGGGTGACATTTACACGGACAGAGTGTGGGTGGGCAGGCACCAGGAGGCCGGGCCAGCAGAGGGTGGTGGTGCGGTGAGCAGTTAGGCCTGAGCCCTGGAGCGGGGGCCGGGGTCTGACCGCCTCACTGGCCAGTGAGGACACTTGGGGGTGGGGGTGGCTATCCCCACAAAGCCACAGCCAGCCCTATTCTCAGAATTTCTTCACTCCTCGCTGAGGAGTTGGTCCTGGCATTTACAGCTGATTTTTTCATCGGGGTCAACCTCCAACATAGCTGGCCCCTACCCCAAGGGTCCTCAACAATTCACTCTAGGGGGGCCCACAGGTTGGGCCCTGACACCACCTGCTTGAGGCTGTGATGGCATCTACAGGCCTGAGGTGGGCGCCCAGGGAGGCAGGCGGGGGGCCCCTGGAGAGAGCAGGGCTGCACTGCCCCAGTGCCCCCCACAGACCGCGGTCCAGCGCGTCTCCTGCTCCCACAGGACGGGGGCAAGCTGCCCAGGACATGCGCCATTTTAAAGCGCCTGCACTTTTTCAATGAGACAAATCCACATGTGTTCTATGCCTGACTACCTTCAGTGGTTACTTTTATTATAAAGACCAGTATCAAAATATACAAATCTGTTTAAGAACCAAAAATGCAGCTTTTTAAAGGGCCGGATGAGCATCCACCGTTCTGAAGGCAGCTTCTCCCTCCAACCACCCGCTGGAGACACAGAGCACACGCTCTGGGCCGTCTCCAAGACGTCAGTGAATAATTTAAAGGGCAGGTGTGGCTCCGACTCTGAATGCATGTTACAGGTCTTCACGGGAGGGTGGCTGTGTCGGGTTTCCCTCTGTGACTTCTGTCAGAAACAAACACAGATAGTGTGCTCCTGAGGATGGGGCCACAAGGGTGTCACCGGGACCAGGCGGCATGTGCGGTGCATGTCCTCATGTGGATTGCCTGCCCGTGGCGTGGGGGATGGCACCCGGCCTCCCTCCAGACACAGCTGGGTGCCCAGAGGTGCCCAGGTGGCATTTCCAAGCCACCACAGTGCTCTGGTGGGGAGGCCCCCGAAGCAGCCTGGACGAGCCTGGGGGGTGGGGGGGTGTCGGGCGGGGAGGGCCAGTGATGTGCACTGCGTGTCCGGTGCTCTCCTGACCGCTATGTCTCTGTGCCCGGGGTGTTTCCCAGTTTCCTGCAATGCGTGCAGAGGGGGGCTTACCTGTCCCTATTCTGCTCAGGACTCAGGGAGCTCCTGAAATCCGAGTCACGTCTTATCCATCTGGAAAACTTAACTAATGTCTTTTTGAACATTGCTTCTTTCACACTCTCCTGTTCTTCTGGAAATTCTATAAGACTGTCATGGCAAGAACTGGGTCCCCCCAAAAGATGTGGACATCCTAACTCCTGGAGTCTGTGCACGTGACCTCACTTTCCAAATACAGTCTCTACAGATGGTTAAGCTAAGATGAGGTCATCGGGGTGGCCCTAAGCCAATGACTGTGTCCTTGTAAGAAGAGGAGAATTTTCACACGGATGCAGAGAGGACAGGTGACAACAGGCAGAGACCGGAGTGATGCAGCAGCGAGCCCAGGAAGGCCAAGGATGGAGCCACAGGAAGGACACTGCCCTCCAGGACACCTGGGCCTCGGACTCGCAGCCCCCGGACACCGCCCAGGCGCTAACGCAGACAGTGTGTGCAGCCTCCTGCTCTGCTCCCGCCACGTCAGTCCTTCTCGGCAGCCACGTGGGTGGCTCCCTGCTGACTTTCACATCCCCGTGACTGCGCTTCGCTCCCGCCCACCTGCCGTGTGTGCAGGGCTCTCTCACCCCACTCACCATTGTCCCCTGCCGGCTGCATCTGCACACACGCGTCTTCTGTTTCCTCGAAGCCTTCGGGACACACGCAGACGTAACTCCCAGGAGTATTGTAGCAGTTCTCGTCTGTCCTTGTACACGCTTTTTCTGCCAGTGAGCACTCGTCTATGTCTAAAATAGAAACACTCACTGTAATGACTCACCTCACTTGGCAGACACACACATCACAGGTCAGGAGGCTAGCGCACACAGGCGCACGGGCATCAGAAGCGTCACACCAGAGAAAGGAGCAAGGGCAGAGTTTAACACAAGTCTGAGATAAGTACTTGACGGGGAGAAAAGCAAGACTGTCCTGGGGATGTGCAGACGGGAAGCTCAGCGCCGGCTCCCGCAGGGGGCCACAGTGGACGTGTCGCCTTTCTCCCAGGGGGTTCCAGCCAGGCTCACCATGAAGGCCCTGACCTCCAGCCACGGGGTCATGTCACCCTGGAGCACGAGGGCACAGACACTCGCCTGGTGGTCACCAGCACTGCATGCTTGGGGGCCAGCTGGGACAGGCCCTGCCCACTGCTTCCGTGTCTCATGGGACCCCCAGGTGCTTGAATAGCAGGGTCTGCAGAAAGGGCTTAAGCCCAGTGTCCTATCCCCACCAGCCACTCATGGCGTGGTCCCTCAGAAGGTTCCGTCTGAGCCCAGCCAACACAACACACTGACCTGTACACTGGCCGCTTTCTTTACTGTATCCGGCGACGCACTCTTTGCATTGTGCTGGGCCCTTCCCCGTGCAGCCCACACAGGTAGAGTCACATTCTAGAAACAAGAGGGAAAAGGCGATGACAGGAGACCAGCTTCCCGTGAAGCCACAGCGCAGACATGCTGGGGCCCCGACGCCCGAGGAGCCGGCAGTCCCCTCACACATCACCCAGGGGTGCCTACACCGGGCCTCTGCCTCCCGGTGAAGGACTGGCTGAAATTTACTCCAAGGACAAGTGCCGAGCGCTGCCGTTTGGCTGGGCGAGGGAGCAGCTGTTGGAAGCCACCCTTCTCTAAAAGACAAACCCCACCTCAAGCTTGGTGCTGATGCCCTGACTCGCCTGCTAGGAGCTTAGGAATCACAGTGGAGAAACAGCCACACTCCGTCAAAGGCGTCGCTGCGAACACGCAAAACCCTGACAACCACCCGCGTTGCTGCAGACACCGGAACGGCAGCCCTGCGCATAGCTGGGACGGCACACTGACACACCCTCCTGGAGCCTGCGGCCCAGAAACCCACTCCCCTTGACTGAGCCATTTGGAAAGTAATCCCAAGAAATAGTGAAGAACGTGAAAAAATTTACCTACGAAGGCATTCCAAGTTCATGGCTGTGGAAAACTGGCGAGACTTAACTATCTAACAATGTGGACTGTTGAAAAAAACCATGAATCATGGTTTTCCCCGGGGCCATTAGCACATAGAAAACATGACACAAAAACACGGTCACAGTGGTGCTGAAGGAAAAAGACGGGGAAGGCGGCCCGCTGGCGCACGGGCGGGCGGGCGCACGCAGCGGGCCCCCTCTCCAAGAAGTGCTGCTCTTTCTACCTGCTTTTCAACCCACTGGCATTTTCTGACTTGTCGACAGCAAGTGTCCTTACTCGGATTGGACCTCAAAGTCCCTAAGGGTGGCAGGGCATACAGAGTCGCGCTGACCAACCACCTTCGCACTGGAAGGACCCGCTGGTGTTCTCGCAGTACTGCTGGTCGCTGCAGGGGGGCGTGTCTGCCGCACACTCGTCCACATCTGGAACACAACGGCACAGCTGTGAGTGGGCCCGGCCTCCACCCCGCATCTGGGCTGGGGGCCAAGGCCAAGCAGCTGTGGGGGTGGCACCGGCACCAGTGGTGGGGAAGAAGGGAGGCCGTCTCCACCTGCCACCCCTCAGGCTCCCGGGGCCCCTATCAGCCTGCAGACTCAGGGCTCTAGCTGCAGGGCTGGTGGTGTGAGCCGGGGCGCATGGGCAGGATGTACCAGAACAGGCGGTGGCCACCAGGCCAGCCGGACAGTGGGGGTGGGGACAGATGCCCGGGGCCTCAAGTCCGCATGGCCGGGCGGAGCCATGCGGTGTGCAGGTGTGCATCAGGAAAGCACTGTGTCCTCTGCGGCCGAGCAGATGGACCGGCAGCCATCATGGCTGCTGGGCTCAACAGTGCGGCTGTCAGGCTGAGGAAAGTTCTGTGCCTCAGTTTCCCCACCCGCACACCAGTAGGACCTGCCTGCACCTTGCCTGAGCCACATTCTGTGTCCCCACCAGAGACTGCCGCTCCCCCTCGTCTGCCCCTGCCCACTTGCCAGCCCCCAAACTGTCTCTTTTATGAAACCAAGGCCTGAGCCATTAGAACCACCTAGGGCAACCGATAGCAAGGCAGGCTGGTAAAGGGGCCACCTTCCCAGCCCGGAATGTAGGCTGCAGAGGGTGTGAAGGAAGCCACGCAGGGTCCTTCCTGACACCCACGGGGGAAACCACATGTGCGAATCTAGGCCTCCATGCTGGGACCCATCAAAACGTGATGTGGAGCTGCAGTCACCTTCCCCACAAGTCCAGAACGGGGCTGAGAGTGTGGGCGGGGGTGCTGAAGGGAGCTGCTCGGGAAGGGGCCATGCAGACCCTGGGGGGGGGCCTCACCAACGCAGGCGTTATCCTCCTCCACCCAGCCCACTTCGCACTGGCTGCAGTCTCTGTTGGTCGGGCCCGTGCACGCCTTACACGACTCGTCACAGGCTGCAAGGCAGAGGTGGGATGTCTGTCACCGTGCGTGAATCCCACCCTCAGTAATGAACAGAACACCAACGTCAGTTCAGAAATCAGGAATTTATGCTCAGCAGGGTGGAAATAAACCCAAAAACAAGCAAAAACTCCCAGGAAGGCAAGATTCCTCTAACAACAGAAAAATGTATTCGTGCGAATTGTAATATTCACTGAGAAAAAATAACCCTTGGGGCTTTCAGTGCCCATTAGCAGGAGGAGTCTCAGCCAACGAGAACTGCAGGGAACCTTTATAACCTGGCAGAGGCAGCTACCCACACCTGGCTGACAGTGCCCCACACCGCAGCCTGCCCTGGCCAAGGAAAGGGCCAGGGGAGGACCGGTGTGCGGCCACGACCTGACAGCAGGTGACGTGTTTGCCACACGGGACACCCAGGGGGCTGCAGACCAGGCTTCAGTTTCCTGGACATCAGAGGTGGGCAGTGAGAAAGCGCAGAGAATGGCTCCATTCATGACGCCCTCCAAGGGTTCAAAAAGCCACCTGTGTGCCAGCCTGTCAGAGCTCTGGACTGGACGTTCCACTGCTCTGCGCCCCCAATGTCCCGACAGGAATGGTCAGTGTGGTCATCATAGCTGCAAGGGTCTGTCTGAGCCTGACAGCCCACCTGGACACTCAGGTCGAGCGGAGCCCAGATGACGGTCAGGGCACCTTTGCAGACCCAGGCAGGAGGTCCTGCCTTACCCAGCAGTGGGGTAGCCAAGACAGCTGTCCTCTAGAAGGGACCCAGGGGCCAGGAGGTCCCATGTGCCTCCAGGCGCTCTCGCTCTCCTCCGAGCCCTCTCTCCATCCCATCTCCTCGCAGTGACGTGGGCCTGTGCTCACTCCAAGGCGCTAAGCCCGAGTGACAGGGGGCACATCCGGCCTCTGCCCCCAGGACACCCAGCAGCGCACTCAGGGCTGGCCATCCTGCCCGGAGAGCTGCGGGGACAGCAGCCTTGAGCCTCCGGAATACTCCAGGTGCCAGGCCACAGAGAACTGAGACTGGTGTGGAAACGACACGATTGCTTCTCCCGAAGAGAGTCAGGACAAAAGTAACACACCTCGTCTGGGGCTGTTCAGGACACTGCCCACAGCCCAGGGCCCGTGTCTTTCCCCGTCACATGTTGAAGCTCCCCGAAGTTCTGGGGTAAGGGGTGACCTGCAGGCAGCTCTGGGAAGGGCCCCTTGTGAGCACCTGCAGGCAGTGGTGTCCCTGGGTGGTACCTGTGCAGACGCTATGCGTCTCGTTTCGCAGCGAGCTGAAGTAGCCATCCATGCAGTCGGTGCACAGAGCCCCCCGGTACCCCAGGTGGCACTGGCAGGACCCGTCGCCCTGTCGGCTGCCATCCCCACTGCAGTGGCCGTTCCCGCTGCAGGGCCTCTCAGACCCGCCCTGGCACTCTGTGGGGACACAAACCGCGCTCAGAATGCACCCCAGGAGATAGCAGGGGCGCACTGTCACAGAGAAAGTGTCACTTCACTCAGCGCACTCACAATCTAAGTAGCTTTTTGGGGCTGTCGCTAAAATCCAAACCCTGCTTTACCCTAAAAGGAGTGGACACCCTGGGGAGCCCAGAGCCTGTGAGCCTGGGGAAGGCACCTGGGCAGCCTCACCCAAGACACGGGACAAAGATGCTCACACATGGGGGTGGGACTGCATGGCACAGTGACAATATCCCACTGTGGCCACACATCCCTGGGAAAGGCAGGCAGGAGGCGTCTGCGGCCAGGGAGGGGGTCTGAACTCGTAAACTGTGTCACTTTATCCCGCTGACCAACGTGAATGACTTTGGTAATGCCCAAACAGCGAGCTGCGGCTTCAGTTTCTGTCACAGCTGTTCGCGAAGGCCCTGACTTGCCTGCGAGGCTGAATGTGACGTGTAGGCCCCCGATGTCTCTCACGGCCTTTGCGTCTCTGAGTGGGGCTATGCTGGGGCCCTGCACTCAGAGGGACCCACAGGGGGCAGCCATGGGTCCCTGGACCATAAGCACAGAGCCGTGTGGCCCAAAGGTCCCTACAGCACGAAGCTGGTGATGCCGCTGTGGCTTGGGGCTCAGGGGAGGCAGCACCCAGGCCCCGGGAGCAGGAGGCCCAGGCTCCCTCCCATGCTTCTGCCCACCTGGGAATCACGACTGGGGTAACTCACGGTCTGCCCGAGAGCAGCGTACCGAGGCAGTGTGGACCGTAAGTTCCTGGCAAACAGCAGACTTTCAGCGTTTTCACACAAAACCACTCAAACAAGTCAGGGTGGTCCTTCTTCCTGATGATTTGAAAAGGGTTTGTTAAGCCTCACGTGCCTGATTTCTTCAAAACAACAGCAGTCTAACATGACAGGTGCTCCCGTGTAACAAGACCTGGGAAAGGACGGCCCAGGTGTGCACAGGCAGGCTTCCAGCTCCCTTCCTGGCTTTGAGCATCGCACTGAGGTAATAAAAGGTGGTGACGTGGGTAAGAGGGGAGGCAGGTGTGCGGCAACTGTTGGTGCTGGGTTTGTGACTTCCCTATGTGTGAAATCAGCTCAGAGCCGTGCGGTAACGAGCCCGCTGTGTGGGGGCTGCAGCACGCGCGCGGCACAGCTGCGAGGCCAGGTACTCACAGCCGCAGCCACCAGGCCTCCAGGCGCTCCTCGTGTTCCTCTAGCATCTGGTTGCACTCGAAGTCGCTGGGGCCGCACAGGCTCTCCACGATCTCCAGGAGGCGGACCTCGCTGAAACACAGGCCCGTCAGCACTGCAGGCCAGGGGACGGCGCCCTTGGCACTCAGGGTCCATCCTACAGGACTGTCCCCAGGCCCCACCTGGCACCGGCCGGAACTGTAGTGGCACTTGAGTGAAGAAAGACCCCCCAGATCAACACAGCAACTGGGGATGGGGGTAGCCAGTGCTAAGCAGAGCATGAAACTTGAGGCCGGGGTGGGAGTTCAGGGTGGCGGGATGTGGGGTCTGCCGCGGGAAACACTGAAGCTGGCGGGACAGAGGGGGAGCCCAGCAACAGCTCATGTGGGTGGGACTCCAATTCCAGCCTGCATTTTCAGAAGACCACTGTGTCTGTGGCATGGACAGTGGGCGTAGGGACAAGTGAGGAAGCCAAAAGCCAGTTAGGGACCAGTGCATGAGTCCCAGGGCAGAGAACAGGTGACCATGCTGCAGGGACCTTCTGTGTGTCACCAACGCGGGTGACAATAAGGCAAGTGCTCTGGGCGGGAGCGGACACCCACCTGAACTCGTACTTGGACAGTGACTTTTCCTCCCATGCCGTGTTCCCACCGCCGAAGTTCTTCTTTGCCGTGTCCACCATTCCCTGCGGGGAGAGGGTGGGCATGGGGCTCCGCACCGCTGTCCCGTCCACTGTGCGGCGACCCTGGTCCATCTGGGGTGACCCCTGCGCACGGCGGTTACCCTGGGTCCGTGACCCCGGCCCCGCGCCCCCGGCTCCGTGTCCCGCGGGGGCCAGCCCACCTGGTTGAACTTGTCCACCAGCTCCCGGCACCGCTTGCAGGGCGTCGGCTTCTTGGCGGCCTTGCCGGGCAGCAGCAGCAGCAGCAGCAGCCCCAGCGCGGCAGGGGCCGGCGGGTGCATGGCGGGCAGCGCTGCGAGGACACAGCCGCGCGGGCACTGGCCGAAGTCCGGCGGAAAACGCCGAGCACTCCGGCCTCCGGCCGCTCAACCAGCTCCGCGGCGCCGGCCGTTCCCCGGGCTACTTGACGGCGCCGGCGGGGCCCCGCCCTCCGCCAGTCCTCGCGCCGCTATTGGTCGGCGGGATCCGCCCCGTCCCCATGTGGCCCAATCCGAGCTCGCCACGAGAAGCGACCAATAGGAAGGCCCCGGGTCAGCGTCCCGAGGGAAGGGATGGAGACGGGGCGCGTGGAGCGCCGAGCCCGCCCCTTTTGCGTGCCCCGCCCTCGGCGGCCATCTTGACTCCGGGCCGGGAGGGCTCCCGCCGCGGCGGGCTGGGCTCTGGCGGCCATGTTAGGTTCGGGCAAGGGCTTCACCTCGGTTCTCGGTTTCCGCCACTCCGCTTCCCGCCGAGGGCAACCGAGACGGCCGCGCTCAGAGGAACGGCGCCCCGGACGAGCGAGGTCAGCGCGCGCTGTGGCGGCCGGGACTCTTGGGGTGGGCGGCGGGGACCCCGAGCCGGCGCTTCCGCGGCGCTCCTCCGGTCTCTCCGTGCGTGTCCACGCGGGACGGCGCCGGGCGTCTTCAGCTGGGGCCGAGCTCCCCACCCGGGGCCTGGTCAGTGTGTCTCTGGGGGCCCAGGAATGAGCATTTCCCCCGGTGCCTGGCACGGGGACCCAGGTGTCGTGAGGCCTGAGACGAGCATTCGCTGCATTCGAGCAGCAGCACGGGCCGGAAGGAAGACGTACACACGCTCCAAAGTTCCTCCGGGATCTGCCTGGCAGCCGCCTAATTGGCACCAGGTCATTGTGTTTGCAGAAGAGGGAGTAATAATTTGAACGTCTGATTTGACCAATTTCAGCAGAGGCCTTAGAATGTGAATTGCGGGGACAGGAGGGCCCCTGCAGGTGGTTCGGGATCTGAGCTGCATCGGTCTAAACACCCCGTTTCTGGGAGTCATGGCCTGTGTTAACCTGTGGATGTCTCAGGTTAGCAACCCGAACAGCCGCGAGCCAGGCTGGACCAGTGCAGACAAATGTCCACTCACCCTGCCGAGCCCTGGTGGTGGGTGGGCTCGCCGCTGCTGTCCTGGTTGCCTTCCCGTGGTCCTGGCAAGCGTCTGTCTGGCTGCTGCCCTTGGTCGTCAGCCGCGAGCACACTGTCACGGGGAGAGGGCCCCTGGCTCCGGAGGGGCCGCGTTCTTCACGAACGCCTCATCCTACAGCTTGTGTGGTGACAGTAGGACTTTCCTGCAGGGAAATGTCCCCTGGACAGAGGCACCGCGTGGGGTCTGCAGGGACAGGCTGGCCGGGGACCGCAGTGAGCGTGTCCGGTTCCTGCGAGGCAACGCTTGTGCCTCACCCGCGTGGCTGGGTAGATGCTTCCTATTTCTTTAAACTCTTTTCTCCTAACATTAAGAGCAACAGAGAGTAGCTATAAGTGTCCCGTGGTCCCCTCTGCTTTCCTGGAGATTAAAGCATTAATGTACTTCTAACGAAAACATACGCTGGTGTGATGAGATCTACATTTCAGAGTTTTTACCAAATGTCTTCTTCATTGAGTTTGTTGAGCACCTACTATGTGCCAGACTCTGCTGATACAGCAGTGAGTCAGCCTGGGGGCCCTCCCTGCAGCCTGTGAACCCCGCGGGGAGACAGTCAAAGGCATCGCCCAGTCGGCACGTTGGAGCACCTCCTGTGAGAACCAGGGTCCACTGTCCTTGCTGAGGTTACAGTGGGGGAACCAGAGAAATTCCACCCTCAAGGAGCTTACGGTTTAGAAAGAGACAAACTAGTAGTACCTCTTTCCACCGGTGCTTTTTAGTTTTGGAAGGGAAAGACGGGCGCTGCGTGTTGACTTGGTGATCCTCAATGACAGGAGGCGGCTTCCCCTTCCCTTCTCCCACCTCACCGCCACCGTGCCCAATGCAGTTCCTGATCCTTCTCTATAGGTTCCATGTCACGTTTTGACCCTCACTTGCTCTTTGGAGGCTGTGGACTTTCTCAGCATCCCTCTGATCAAAGGTAGCTGTGACAGACAGCGAGGCTCTCCTTTACATTCTGGCCAATAAAGTCAACCTGTTTAATGAGAAGCCAGAAACATGAAGAAGAGTTTGCCATGTCCCCACCCCGCCCACCCCCATTGACAGACGTAGGTCTTCCAAGTGGGAACTGACTGGCCACATTCTTGGTTTTCTCAGGAAGCTCTGTGCACAGGGAGCCCCCAAACAGTCCTCTTGGTATCTGGGTGATCCAGGCACATCTGTCTGAACCCCCCAAGGACAGGTCGTGCTTTCTGCCACCCACGTATCCGTGTTCGTGACCAGCATGCTGTCATCGGGGCTGCGCTCCTTTCCACGGAGCTCAGAAGGCAGCAGGGCGGGCGTCCATGGCCCCATCCAACCCATCCCGCCGTGTTGGGCGCAGGGCCTCTCCGGGCACCCTCTGTCCCCCTCCTGCCCTCCCACCTCACAGCCACCGTCCCGGGTCTCGGCTGGGACCATGGGCCGAGCCGGGTTCTACCCAACTGTCCTACGGGATTTGAGCATCTCCAGAGCAGGGGTGCTCTGCTGCCCCCAGAGGCCGGGCGCAACGAAGGCCTGGAGTTGGTTCTGCAACTAGAGTCTTCATCCTAGAGAGACATACACAGCTTCACGCGTGAGCCAGCGGGTGAAACGTGGATGCTTCCGAAGCGTGTCTTTTAAAAAAATGTCTACTTTGATGTGTTTTCAGATTTACAGAAGTTGTGACAATAGTTCAAAGCATTCCCCTCACCCTTCACTGATCTCATGATGTTAACTCGAGTGTGAGTCTGAAACTAGGGAACCTTTGCTTTTGTTCTTTCAAGGGCTCCCAGAGTGGCAGTGCTGACGGGTGGCAACAGCGCGTGAGGGTGCAGAATGGCTGGGAAGAGGCCATCGGGCTCAGGCAAGCAGTGCTGGCTGCTGGGGCTGCTGGTGGCCGTCGCCGCCGCCCACCTCGTCGCCTGTCCCTACGCCAAGGTGGAGGAGAGCTTCAGCTTGCAAGCTGTGCATGACCTGCTGTACCATCGGCTGGACGTGGAGAAGGTGGGGCCGCGCCTGCAGCCGGGTCATCTCCACGTCCCTGGGCCTCTGCTGACCTCCCCTTCCCCTGCAGTATGACCACCTGGAGTTCCCCGGCGTGGTCCCCAGGACGTTCCTCGGGCCGCTGGTGATCGCGGCGCTGTCCGGCCCTGCGGTCTACGTGCTGTCACTGCTAGAAGTGTCCAAGTTCTACTCTCAGCTGACAGGTAAGGACAGGGCTCTTCCAATGGGGTCAGTGAGGGGTTGTGAGAGCCGGTGAACTCAGTCAGCCGGGCAGAGGCTCCCTCACTCAGGAATGTCTGTCTGCTCAATCTTGGCTATCCTTGGCCGCTCAGCGTGGCGGTCGGAGCGTGGGTCAAGGTCAGATACCTACCCGTTCTTGGGGTGACCCGGGGCAGGGAACTAAGCACCTCTGAGTGAGGTGTGGGCCCTTCCACCCAGGCGGCACAGCAGGAAACAAGCCTGGGCGAGGCGCCCCCCCCCGCCCCCCCGCGGCCTCGCTGGAGGATTGCACATGCTCAGGACGCCATGCACAGATCTGTGACCGCACTTCTAGCCACAGTGCTATCTTCCCACTTCAGTATTTTGCTGCGTCCAAACGCAGACCGTACTCGCGTTTCCCAGCTGACGCCAGCACGTCCTCACAGCGAGTTTGTCCGGCCCAGTGGAGCGCTGTGACGAAGTCGGCTTCCCGAGGAGGGGCAGCTGCGCTCTCGGAAGGGGTAGCTAGACAGGCCGTGCTGATCGCAGGGGATCGGGGAGCCCCGACAGGAGAGTGGGGGCCTGTCTGAGCCTCAGGCCCTCAGAGACATGGCCCTGGAGGTGTGACGGCCGTGGGGGGGGACCTCAGTGGGAATGCCAGGCCTGTCACGCTGTCGTACAGACACTGCCTGCCCTGACCGATGGCCGTGTCCCCCACCATCTGCCTGCCCTGGGCCCCATGGTCACCGCATTCGGGTCAGGTCGTCCATTCCCCACACCCAGTCCATTTTTAACACCAAAGTCCAGTCCCCTGTCTCATGGTTGTCTCCTTGTCACCGGGCCATTAACTGATCACTGTGTGTGAGTTTCAGAGACTGGCTTTGCCCCAGCGTCTGTCTCACTGGTCGCCCGTGTGTTGCCATCTTTGTTTAGTCAGAGCGGTCCTCGGGCTCTGTGTGATTTGGGGGCTCTGGACTTTACAAAAAGAAGTGAGACGGCATTTTGGGGCCACGACGGCCACCATGTTCTGCTGGATGACGGCCACACAGTTCCACGTGATGTTCTACTGCACGCGGACGCTCCCCAACGTGCTGGCCCTGCCCGTGGGTACGTAGCTGCGAGCTGTGCCCGCCAGACCCAGCCATGGCCCCAGGCCTCTCGCTGGGCTCAGGCACACCACTGGGTGACAGCCAAGGGGGTGTCCATTGAGGGGGGCTGGTGCTGCCCTGGGGAGCCTCGGGCTCTGGAGACAGGCAGCAGATGGCTGGACTGGGCCTCCGGGTCGGCTGTGCAGTGGCCGTGTCAGCGGGCCGGGGGTCGGGTGGCCTGTACCTGATGAGCACCCCGCGTCCTGCCCGTGTCTTGCAGTGCTGCTGGCCCTCACGGCCTGGCTGCGGCAGAGCTGGGCCCGCTTCCTCCGGCTGTCGGCGCTGGCCATCCTCGTCTTCAGAGCCGAGCTGAGCCTGCTCCTGGGTCTCGTGCTGCTGCTGCTCCTGGTCACCCGGCGGCTGTCCGTGGCCCGGACCCTGCGGTGTGCTGTGCCGGCCGGCGTGCTCTGCCTCGGTGAGTGGTCAGCCAGCGTCCTGGCTGGGCCGTGCTCTGCCTCGTCTCCCTGACTAAGAGAAGCTAGGAGGCTATTTCATGGGATGAGACCCTCTGGAGCCGAGGGCAGCATCTGTGCGTCTTCATGCTGTGGTCCTTGCGTGGTGCCTGGGCGTGCTCTCCTCCTGGGGCAGCTGACTGGGGACCCTGCCGGCGGGTGCGCACAGGGGAGCAGCAGATGCCCCAATGCTTTGCGTGAAGCTGAATGACTCGTGGTGTCTGTGCCAGCAGGCTGCTGCGTGCGGACATGACCCATGTGACCTGGGACTCAGGGTTGCCGTCAACCTGAGTGTTCAGGTGTCCGTGTCCTTGCTTGAGGAGCTTTTTATGTTGTCAGGCCTGACGGTCGCTGTGGACTCCTACTTTTGGCGCTACCTCGTGTGGCCTGAAGGAACAGTGCTTTGGTATAACACCATCCAGAACAAAAGCTCCAACTGGGGAGTATCCTTTACCTGTCGTTGTAAGATGGCCTCAGGGCAGGATGCCGACCGCCCCCTGGCCTTGTTCAGGCGAGACGCAAGGAGCTACTGCCCTCCCTGCTGTCTGCCCCAGACGGGGCTCACCTGATGGGGCTCAACTAATGGGGTGCATGAGACGAGGTTCACCTGACGGGGTATAGCAGGCTGCTGCAGCTACTTTAGTACCCAGATTGGCGTCTTCCAACCTGTCCACAGGTGCCCCCAGGGTGGCACCTGGGTCCCCCGCTGCAGCACCTGCCCACCGTGTGGAAACACCACCTTGCTTTGGGAGCCCCGACTTCTGTGTCCGTCCCACAAGCATCTGCTGTTTAGGTGTTTCATTGTGGGTATTTAAACACACACGGAGAACAGTAACCAGTCCTGTGCACCCACCGCCCCGAGACTGCCCGTTTCTGTAGAGAACCAAGGAGGTGAGGGTGAAAACCACGTGCAGCCCGGCCACCAGCTGCCGGGTTCCGTGCTGGCGCCCACGCAGCGTCCTGGCCTCTGGCCGCGGTCACCTGAGGCCCCCGGCCCAGCTGGCTGAGGGTGACTGGTGCTGACCTTAACCGTGCCCCAGACCTCACCCCTGCTCTGGTACTTCTCCTCGGCCCTGCCCCGTGGCCTGGGCTGCAGCCTGCTCTTCGTGCCCCTGGGCCTGGGGGACAGGAGGGCCCGGGTGCTGCTTCTGCCGGGGCTGGGCTTCGTGGCCCTGTACTCGCTGCTGCCCCACAAGGAGCTGCGTTTCATCCTCTACGCCTTCCCGCTGCTCAACGCTGTGGCCGCCCGGGGCTGTGCCCACCTGTGAGTGCTTTTGCGGGCACCTCTGCACACAGGCTCACCGATTGGCAAGGCAACGCGCCGCCCCACCGGCCAGCTTGGACGGGCCAGGCACTGACCGGCGGCTCTGCTTGGTCCGTCTCGGTCTTCAGCCAATCCGGACGTGTGTCTCGGGCCCGTTGGCACACGGCCATGCTAAGTGCCCAGGGCTCGGTCACTCGGGGGCAGGACGCCTGCCTATGACATGGTCGCAGCTCAGGGTGGTGGGAGGCTCTGAGGGTAGCAGGTCAGATGAAGGAGGGGAGCTCCAGGTCGAGAGCGTCCCATCAGGTGGGTGGACAGTGGGGAAGAGGCAGGTGGGAAGTGGGGGTGGCGAGGTTGGGACACGGGGCAGGGCACGGGGGCAACACAGGACGGTCACTGCTGTGGTGGGAACTGCGGACGGCCCTGTGAGCGTGGGAAGTCAGTGATGCTGTGGCCGGCCTGGGACTTCTCCCCAGTCAGGGGTGCCTGGAGCTGACGCCCTCGGGGCCGAGAGGGAGGACAACCTTGTTCACGGAAAACACAGGCGTCGCTTAGCAAGGCTAGGCCTCGTGAGCACATGAGGACGGGCTATACCTGTGATAAAGCTCTGTGCTGACCACCTGCGCAAGCACAGGCCAGGTGTGCGGGGGAGAGCAGGTTGGCAGGGACCCGTGTCGAGGAAGCCGACAAGCCCTGGAGTCTCCGTGTACAGGAGGCAGGAAGGCGGCTGTGTACATGGGTCCCTTTCCTCCCTCGGGACACAGCAGCAGGTCCCCCTGGACGCCGGCATTTCAGAGGCGGCCCAGGTCCTGGAGTAAAGGTTTGGGTGGCATAGGTGGAAGCAGGACCTAGAATTGCCAACTTTGCATAGACACAGCTCTTAGCGGTCCAGGGCCTCCTGCCCGTCACCAGGTCTTGGCTGGAACATGCCGGGAATCCTGGCAGCGTGGGGCTTCCTCCGGCAGGGCCCTAAGGCCTGGGGCCACCCTCGGGGTGCGACCTTGAGTGGGGATGGGGCACGTGGTTCACGCTGAGTCTGCAGCCCTCAGAGGCCGAGCCTGAGCCAGAAGGGCGGGCAGCAGCTGTGTGTTCCTGACACCCGTCCACTTCCTGGCGGCCGTGTCCCTTCCCCGAGCCGTGCACTCTTTCCAGGCTGAACAATTCCCGGAAGTCTTGGCTGTATAGAGCAGGGTCCCTGCTTGTGATGGGGCACCTCGTGGTGAACGCCGCATACTCGGCCACTGCCCTGTACGTGTCCCACTTCAACTACCCCGGTGGCGTGGCCATGCAGAGGCTGCACGAGCTGGTGCCCCCCCAGACAGGTAGGTGCTGGGGTGAGCAGGGTGGGGGCAGCTGTGGCCCGAGACCCACGAGCGGTTCTGACCGGGCAGCTATGGCTTCCACAGATGTCGTTCTGCACATTGACTCGGCGGCTGCACAGACAGGTGTGTCTCGGTTCTTGGAAGTCAACGGGGCCTGGAGGTACGTTCCTGCCATGACGTGACAGTAGGTGGCGCTCCTCCCAGAGGCTGCACAGTTCCCTGGGGGCCGGGGGCTGGCGTGGGGGCCGCAGCACATGTGCACAGCCCTGCTGTTCTGCAGATACGAGAAGAGAGAGGACATGCAGCCCGGCTCGGAGGGCATGCTAGTCTACACGCACCTGCTCATGGAGGCGGCCCCTGGGCACCTGGCCCTCTACAGGGACACACACCGGGTGCTGGCCAGCGTTGCGGGCACCACTGGGGTGAGTCTGAACCTGACCAGGCTGCCTCCCTTCGACGTCAACATGCAGACCAAGCTGGTGCTTCTGGAGAGACTCCTCAGGCCTTCCTGAGCAGGAGTGGGTCCGCCAAGAACGAGGGACAATGCGGACGAGCCGCAGAACCATGACGCGCCCCCAGGGGGCCTGAGTTGCAGGCTGGGCCCACCCACAGCCACATGTGGGCGGCGGCCAGCGCACCCCTGGGAACATCGGCTCCACCTGCATCCTGAGCTGCGGGGTGAGCCTCTGGTCACAGGCACGCGTCCCCATTTCAGGTGAAATTTATGAGATACACATGTTCAAAAAGGAATGAGGATTAAAGTTTGTAAATCTGTTCTTATTAGCAATCTTATGGAATGCAGTACTTCCAGAGTGCTTTCTGAGGTTTTATTTATTTATTTATTTATTTTATTATTTTTTAAAAAGATTTTTTTGGGGAATTGGGGAAGGGGAACAGCCAAGTTGTCCTTCAATCTTAGCTGTGGAGGGCGCAGCTAGCTCAGCTCCAAGTCCAGTCGCCCTCCGGCCGCCCGTCAGCAGCTTGCGGTCGCTCAGCTCAAGGTACTGTGTTCAATCTTAGTTGTGGGTGGGCGTAGGCCCACCATCCCATGCGGGAGTCGAACCGGAAACCTTGTTGCAAAGAGCGCACGCTCTAATCACTGAGCTATCCGGCCACCCATTGGCAGCTCAGGGCAGCTCAGCTCAAGGTGCCGTGTTCAATCTTAGTTGCTGGTGGGCATAGTCCACCATCCCATGCGGGAGTCGAACCGGCAACCTTGTTGTGAGGAGCACGTTGAACAGCATTTATTAAGTAGCCAAAGTGCGTCTGACAATACAGAGAACGGGGTGCCACTGCATACATGTCACATGTCACGCAAACCCCACGCATGTGTGGAAAGACAGGCTGTTTCTGTCCGATTGATTCAGGAGTGAGCTGCTTACCGCATGGCCTTGACACCGAGTGCTCCAGTGTGTCCTGGGAAGGAGGTGGGGCCTTTCCCACCTGCAGGTACCATGTGTCCCCCGGACGGACGTGACAAGCCGGCTGAGCAGACACCGTCACTGGGGGCTCCCCGACTCAGCGCCCTCTGGTGACGCTGCCGAGCAGCCTTTGCGGGCCGCCCTTGTGGGTTCCTGGCAGCGCTCCTCTTGGCCTCTGGGGCAGCCCTGGGGCGGCATCTGTTGGGGCTCCTTTCGGTGGGGAATGCTTTACAGGCCTGTGTTCGCCTGTCTGTCTCTCCAGTCCTGGGAGCAGTGGTTTGCCCTGTGCCCTCCCTTCTCCTGCAGATCCAAGAATAGTTGTTGCTTTTTCAGTTTCTTCTGCTTGTCACGTGTTATTAGGATGGAGGGGTGACTTCCTAGCTCCTTACATGAGGAACCCCAAACCAGAAGTTAATTTTTTTTTTTAAAACGTATCAGTCTCCTAAATCATGCAGAAAATGAAAAGAGGAGTTATAAAACCATGGTTACAATAAGACTGGCTTTTATAATTGCCACGCCAGCTCTGTCCTCGGGCCCACTGCGTCCTCAGTGTTGAGTGGGTCTTGGAAGCGAACAGAGCTGGGTTTGCCATTTTAGCCAGTCTAACAATCTCCTAATTAGTGTTCCACTTGCATTCAGTACAGTTGCTGATCGGTTTGGGTTTAGATCTACCCTTTCACTGTGTCTTCTCTCTGCCCATCTGTTGTCCCTTCCTGCCTTCTTTTGGATTAATGTAAGTATTTGTTAGTTCATTTCCTCTGTCAGTTTCGTAAACATTTTTATTGCTGTTAGTTTTATCTTAGGGTTATACATATATGACTTTTAGTATTTACTTTAAATTCCTACTTTTACGGCTTGCGGGGCAGTGAAGGGTCCTGTCAGCCTTTGCTCCCTGTCCTTTGCCACTGCCTTGCATGCTGCTGGGTCTCGTTCTGCCTTTACTTTAAGCCCCAAGCGACCCTGCAGTTTTGAATGGCCAGTGCTCACCCTGGCTTCCCGTTTCTTACCCTCCCCAGAAATGTCCCTTATTCCTTCCAGTGTTGTCACACATCCATCTGCTTGGAGAACGCCCTTCAGAAGGCATTTCAGGGCAGGTCCACTGGTGACAAATTCTCAGTTTTCTCTTGTCTGGAAGCTTCCCTTCACCGTCATTTTTGCGGGGTGTCCACTGACCATGTGCATCTAGGTTGGCGGTCACTTCCTCTGCACCTCACAGGCTGCTCCGTTCTGCAACCTCCATTGCCTCTGCTAAGGGCAGCTGCCAGCTGAGTCGTTCCTCTGGACATAAAAGTGTCTTCCTTTCTCTGCTTTCCAGATTTTGTTTTCGGTTTTCAGCACTCTGCTGTGATTTGCCGAGGTATAGATTTGTGTGTCATTTTTATTTATCCTGAGTTTGTGACAGCTGTGGCCACGGCTGCTGTTAGTTTGGGAAAGCCCCCAGACACCAGGCTCCTTCGGGTGCTGGCTGCGCACTCCCCGAGGCCTTGCGGGACCCGTCAGACCCCGATGCCCCACGTCCGTCTTCTCTCTGCGCTCCAGTCTGAGGTTTTCTCCTGACCCAGCTCCAATCCAGCAGTCCTCTCATTAGCTTAATATTAGGTCCACCTACTGAATTAGTTTGTTGTTTTATTTTTCAGTTTTAGAATGTTCCTGTTTGTAGCTTTCATGTCTGCCGACATTCTCCACCTTCTGGAGTGTGCTAATCAGCGTCCATGTCTGAACAGTGACCTTTGGGTCACCCGTGTCTGTCTCTGTGGTCCATTCTTTCCTTGCAGTCTTTGGTCCTATTTTTCTTACAAAAAGCTGTATGTGAGTAAAGTTAGAGAAGCTCAGGACCTTTCCATGGAAAGAAAATTTTCCTCCGGGCAGAAAGGTGCAGTAGGGCAGGCCACCTTGACGCGCTCGAGGCTGTGAAGATGCAGCCGTTTGCCCTCCAGGGGTCTCCCCAGCTAGCTGGGTCCTCTCGCTGGTAGGCACGGAAGTCCGTGGTGCTCCCTGCTCAGGGTGCCCACATAGCTTCTCAGCCGCGCGCCCTGTTCCCTCCTGAGGGGCCCTCTTGCTGGAGTCCTGGTCGACATCACTAGATGTCTCCTCAGCTCAATTCTCACCCCCCCCCCACCCCATCTGCAGCCACCCCCCTGAAAGCCAGAGCTGCTGGATGAGGGCGCCCCCACATCCTCCGCAGGCTACAGCTGGCTGGACCGGGGCTGCCGGGGCACCTCCGGGGGCTGGCACAGACCCGCTCTGGAAGGGGAGGGGCGGGAGTCCTGGGCCACACTGTTGTCCCACAGCTCACTGTCCTTATGTGACAAATCCTCCCCCACTATGGAAACCTGACTAAGTCAAACCTTTGAAACAGGCACACAGAGAAGCAGGGCAGTGTTGGCGCTTGTCCCCGACGGTCAGCTTGTCCCTCGCGGGTCAGCATGGGTCACTCGTGTGCCCCTGGTCGCCGCTCCTGGGGCATCCGGAACAGGGCTGGTCTGAGGAACGTGTGCACAGCCACCCAGGCAAGAGGCTACACGGCCAACGTGACCGCCAGGCTGCCCACTGGGCTGCCTGCCAGGCCCTTCATTCAGGCCCCACACTGAACGTTCCCGGCACTGTCAGCACCAGCATCAGAGCCCCGGGAGCTGCGTCACCACCTCCCGGGTCCTACGCAGGGCGAAGGCTGCGCGCGTGTGGCTTCTGTGTCCACTGGCCCCAGAGGGTGACTTCTAGTATCCTACGAATAAAAAGCCAGTGTCCTCCAGCAGTAGAAAATCACAAATAAAAAGTTTAATTTCAGAAACTGAGCTCATCATTTATAAATACACTAAAACATAGTCAATGCAAAGTCAGATGAATAATAGGTACAGTATTTTAACAAAACAACTTTTCTAAAAGGTCAGAGGCAAAGGAGTGACTTGCTTCACCCATAATATTTAATTGGTATGAAATAAGAAAATGAACCCTTTCCTACCTGTTGAAGCAAAAACTTTGAAGACATATTATTGTTAAAAGAATATGACAGCTCACACTTCATTCTGACGTCCTTGGGATCCTACAACTAATCCCAGTGATGGCTGAATGTTCCCTATTATAAATCTAAACACCTAACCCTACTCTTAACCTCCGTATAAGTCTTCCCTGTTGATAAGCCATCTCTTCTAAAAAAGAATTTTACACATGATTTGATCAAACTGGCGGTCACTACACAAATTTCAAAAGACGGCTTTGAAGTGCAGAGACTACGTCAGAGGCTTGGAGGCTTAATCACCAGCACTGCCGTAAACGAGTGTGTTGTGCACGGCCTGACGCCCTTATAACGAGTCGGGTGTCAGAGCTACGTGGCCGCGTGAGACCTGAATGCAGGGCGGGAGATGGGACGTTCTCACCAATCACGGTATCACCGACACTCGGTGATCCACCTCGGTTTAGTTTTGTCTTCAAATGCCACGTCTTTCTTATAGTAAACAGCTATCTTCCAGAATATTCTCTGTGCTCCTTACATACTTTAGAGCCTGCACTTAAAAACCGCTCAGTCAGGATGGCTTCAACTCCACCTCCTATGTACAGATTTTATTCGACAGCCACAAAAGCTGTTTTGTTGCAATTAAAGCAATTTTTAACTAAAATACAGTACCTGATTTGTGGTTTTTACATAATTGAATAAAAAGCCTACAGAATAAAACTGTTTACATCTTCTCTGCCATTCTAGTGAAACAAATTACTAACCCCCAACTTTTAAAAAACTTTACAGTTATGGATTCAAACCTAATCATCGTATTTCATAATTGACTAGACAGGCTATTTCTAGTGGACGTCTTAAAAAAACACGCCGTGATTCCTGGCCTGAAGGACTGGGAGTAAGGCACATGTAGACATTACGGTGAGAGCAGAGGGAGCTCAGCGTGGACCTGAGAGTGCCTGGTCTGATGTCCTACATGGCCCCGACCGGAGGAGCCACCAGCCCGGGACAAACAGCTGGTGCCTAACAAGCAACAGGGTCTTCAGCCGGTGGCTCCACTGCGAGTCTCAATACTGAAAGTATATTAAGGGAAGATTCACTTTCAAAAAGATCAGTTTTTCAAAATGTTCCATCGTGAGCCTGGACTGGCCGAAGCTACCATTCTCGGTGTGTGTGCTGAACAGCCTCTCCGAAGGGACGACGCTCGGGGGGCAGCCCAGGAACCTGACAGCCAGAGCGGAGAGGCCCGGCCAGGCCGACTTCTTCAGGTTCCAGTAGGTGAGCGGGTCACAGCCGTGTTCTAGCACCTCCTCCTCCAGATAGGCGAGCACCGCGTCCTCGGGGACTTTCGTCTTTCCTCGCGGGTCCTGCTTTTGTATCTTGGCCATGAGTGACCACAGGTTGTCCTCCCCACCGGCGTCCTTCGATGGGGAGCCTGGACCACACCCGTTGGAGACAGGTGTGTCCTCTGAGGTAGAATGCAGCATCTCGAGCTCCCTGATTAAATCCCGCTTGTACTGCTCGGCCTCCTCCTCGGAGAACAGCGAGGCCTTGTAACGCGGGTCCAGCAGTGTGGCGAACACGTACCTGGGGTCGTGGAGGGTGGCAGACAGCCGGCTCACCATGGCCTCCTTCAGGGACTTGAGCATGGTGTCGATGCCCATCGTCTCCTCGAACAGCATCTCGACCTTCCTGGTTAGAATGTGGATCATGGGGATGACCTGGCTGAGCGTGGACACGTGGGCGCTCATCTCCCGGCTCGCGGCGTCGAAGGGCTTCAGCGCGTGACACACGGACTGCATGACCTCCCACTGGTCACAGCTGATCAGCTCTCTGAAGTTACACTCGATGGACATCTCGTTAATCGCCCTCTTCTGTTCGACGAGCCGCTCAAGCATGTGGAACGACGTGTTCCACTTGGATGGGACATCCTGGATGAGATGGTGCTGCGGCAGCTCGTACTCCTTCTGCAGCTCGGCCAGTCTCTCCTTGGCCCTGTGTGACCGGTGTACCCGCTCGCATATCTTCCGTGCGATGCTGAGTAAGTTCTGGACCATCCTCTGACTCTTCATGGCCTCGCTGACGATGAGGTTAACCGTGTGACTGAAGCACTGCACGCTTGAGTGGTCCCCTTCATTCAGCGTCTTGCCTATGCTCGGGTTGTCGGTCACCGTGATACCGACCTGAAGGCCAGTGGATGTCACCCAGGCCTCCCACCAACATTCCAGCTGCTTCTGAATGCTGTTGCCACTGTAGTCACAGTCAATCTGTGACACATCTAAAAGTGCTGAGCAGTGGTGATCCTCACAGTGCGGCCGGACCGATGACTCGAACGCGACCCAGTGAGCGGTGAGGGTCAGGTACTCCCGGGTCTGGTTACTCATCCATATTCCGGACGTGAAGTGGATCACGCCACTCTCAGCTTCCTTGAGATGTGACACAATTATCTGCTTCACATTGTCGTACATCCCTGGGATAGCTGTCCTGGAAAAGTAGGAAGGTGAGGGCAGAGAGTACTGAGGTTTCAAGTATTCGAGCAGCCTGTTAAAGCCAACATTGTCTACAAAAGAATATGGCTGAAGGTCAAGTGCAATCATTTCAGCTATGAGACTCGTTATTTTTTTGGCAACTGGATGAGAGTCATAGAACTTCTCATCGGTGTCGTCAAAGGAGGAGGCTCCTGACAATTCTGTGCTCAGTGGCTCGCGGCCGCCTGGAGCTGGGGGCAGCGCGGTCTTGGGGACGTCAGCCTTCAGCACGCTGCCGTGGAACCTCTGCAGATGCCTCAGCAGACAGCTGGTGCCCAGGTTGGTCGGCTTTTTTCCCCTGCTTATCGTCCGGCCACAGTGCAGGCACACGACTTTCGTGGGGTCTGCAGGGCAGACGGAGAAATGATTCCACAGCTTGGAGGTCTTTTTGCTGTGAACGGGAAATAGAGCTGGACTGTTTTTTGTAACCACTGTTGGCAAGTCAGTTAATTTAGAGGAGGAACTTTCTGCAGAAGCCAAGGTGGCGTACGGAGAATTTGCCAAACTGGCCCCCAGAAGGCCCTTTTGGTTCCCAACAACTTCCGGGTGGCGTCGGTAGAGATGTCTCATCAAACAGCTCGTGCCCACATCTCCCTTCTTCCCCCGACTGATGACACACCCGCAGTGTCTGCACACTGCCTTCAGACTGTCCGTGGGGGCGAGCGAAAAGTGATGCCACACTTCGGACTTCAGTCTCTTCACTGCCTTTTTATTCTGTTGGAATGCAGCACCAGGTCCAAACATGCGAGGGCTCAACCTGTCACCCTGCCGCTTCTCGGGAGAGGACACCAATGATGCCTCACCGGCAGCATCAGAGGGCGATGACACCGATGCGTCTTCCATCAGCGCGTCTCCGGGAAGCAGATGTGACTGCAGGTCCTCTGTGAGCCGGTCCGGGGAGGAGGCTGCCGAGGGGGGCGGCTGGACCAGCCTCCCCGGCGACGACGACACGGAGCCGGGCTCTCCGTCCGGGGGCGGAGGGGCAGGCAGCAGCGTGGGGGGCGCGGAGTAGAGGGGCGGGATGGCCGACCCCCCGCCGTTCTCCTGCAGCACGATGGAGCGGTGTGCCCTCCACATGTGCCGGATCAGGCAGCTCGTGCCCAGGTCCTTCCCGTTCTTGCCTCTGCTGAACTCGTTCATGCAGTGGATGCAGACGGCCTTGGAGCTGTCGAGAGGCGACAGGTAGAAGTGCCTCCAGACCGCCGATCGCCGGCGGGACCCGGATGTGCCCTTGTGAGGCGCAAGGCTCCTCTCTGCCCCGCTCTCTGCAACTTCATCGTAGTGGGGCGTGGGGAGCTGTGGGGGGGCCCCCGCCGCGGCTTCTTCCCGGCCGTACTTCTCGGAGGTGGACACGTCGGAGGAGATGTCTTCAGAAGACATGACAGACACAGATTCCTCTGTCACTCGATCGGGAGACGGGATCTTAGATGCCATCCTCTGGACCAGTTTGATGGGCGACAGCACAGCACCCAGGTCTCCGACCTCAGCGGGCTGTGGCGGGAGCAGCAGCGACGGGGGCGAAAGCGAGGCCAGGGCCGAGGCGGCGCCGTGCCCGTGTTCCTGGACGAGCACCGTGGGGTGCGCTCTCCTCACGTGGCGCATGAGGCAGCTGGTGCTCAGATCCTTCTCGTTCTTGCCCCTGCTGAACTCCTTCATGCAGTACATGCATATTGCTTTCGTGCTGTCCCGAGGAGAGATGAAGAAATGCTTCCAAGCCGGAGACTTCTTCCTGGAGCTTATGTTCCGGCCGGACAGCAGGCTCTGCGTCACAGCCTCCATCGCCACGTCGTACAGCGTGCTGCTGTACTGTGAGAACAGGGACCCGTACTCGTCCTCGCCGTCGGCGGGGACACACCTCCCCGGCGGCTCACAGCCACAGCTCGTTTCTCTGGTCTCTGCCCGTCCGTCACCACTGTCAGCTGGTTTCCTGTCCTCTTGCTCAATTTTAAAGTCCATTCTTTCCAGACTGTGGTTCGGAATTTGACCAACATCTTCCCCTTCTATTTTAAAATTTACTTTATCGGAAACAAAATCACCACCCGCTTTGGGATGAGTTTCCTGGTTATTTTCCATGGCTGACCATAACTATTCCGGCTGCTTCACCATGCTGATCTCTTAGGTTGGTAAAAAAAATGATCCAAATGCGCATTTGTGCCCCAAATGTACATTTTCTTCAGTGATTTCAACAGTTCTGTCTTTCGGGATGTTTATGAATATGGCCAATCATACATCTCACTGAAAACCAGAGTGTGCAACTCATGAGCACATCATCTTAGGGCGCAGACCACTGCTTCCCAGGAGCTCGGTAAGTCCTTCACGCTGCATACGTCCATTCATGCGGTGCAGCCCTGCCTGTCATCTTGGAAACAGGATAGCCGCCATCTTGATGGTCCTGCATTTCCTGTAAGAAATGAAATCAAGTCAAGCACTGAATGAAATCACACATTTAAAACTGATGCTGGGCTGGCCGAGTGGTGCGATGGTTAAGAGCTGGCTTGGGACGCCAGAGGGCCCCGGTTCGGATCCCACATATGAGGGCCAGTGACACTGCCCTCTACAGCTAAGATGCTGAACAACAGCTCAACCTGGAGCTGGGCTGCTGTGAGTTGCTAGCGACGGCTTAGGCTGCAGCCCCTGTGGCAGTGGGTTGCCATGGGCTACTATGTGTAGCCAGTAGCCAGCGTGAGCGGCCATCCAGAAGCCGGCGACTGATCTGCCTCGCCCGGGAAGAACGCAATGATGGTGCCAACTTGGGCCAGTGAAGCAACGTCCTCCACAACTAGACTGAAGAACAAAAGGATAGCAACTTGTCTGTTCCCCTCCCCCAATTCCCTGGCACTGTTCCCATCCCCCCAATTCCCCAATTAAAAAAAAAAATCTTAAAAAACCCCAAAAAAACTGATACTGCCAGGGGTGGACCAGCCTCAACATGCACAGGAAAAAAATCCCACGATAGTAAATTAAAATAGAAAAACTTGTTCCCTAACTTTTTAAAAATCCACTTACACAATGAAAATACCCCAAAACTGTAAAACAAGCGGAAAAAAAGATACAAATTTAAATTTAAATGGCCTATTAATAAAGGATGGTGGGGGAGGAACAACAGAAAAAACCTACAATGGTATAAAAAGGTCCGTTTGGTCTACAACCGATGCCCTCAGCCATCAGACGGTGGAGTAGCTGCTGTCATCAGCAGAGCTGAACCCCCCAAATCAGTCTCATTCCACCTGCTGCAAGGACTGTCACAGGAACTGGGAGCCCAGCAGCTAAGCTACGCGACCACCTACTCACAGACTGAACACTGAGTGTCCTAAAGGAAACGAGGTGGCTGCGTGCGGGAGTGGAGGGGAGGCCTGGGGCAGCAGCTGGCAGGGACACACCAGTGCTCGAGGACTGCAGGACCCTGACCACAACAGAGGCCAGAAGCAAGGTACGTGCTATTCTGAAGGCACGTGAGAGTGATGGGCGCAGGAGTGGGCAGCACCTGAAATGTGATGTGAAGGATGGCGAGCAGGTGGCAGGAGTGGAGCGCTGATAATAAGAGTATAAAGAAAGCAACCAAAACCCAGTCTTGGCAATGTGGCAGCACAAATACTAGGACGAGCAGGCTTACGATGCTGAAACTAGACTCTAGGTAATCTAGGAGAAACACACTTTTTTTAATACACACCAACGAGGGTTCAATATAAATACAAGCAGCATAGAAAAACTCAAAACTACACATAAACCAAAACCAGAATGCCAAATGGTGGGGACAAAAGGCACATTTCTGACCCTTGGCGTCAGCCAGCCCCGAAATAAAAACCAGCGCAGAGAACAAATGAAGAAAATGGAAAGGAAAGGCTTGCGCTCGGCCATGGAAGGAGAGAATGGCCACGGAAGCCCAGGGGCCAGGGCAGAGCCTGGGCTGCCCCAGGGGCACCGGGCCCTGCCGACTGGGAGGCTGAGCCAGGCCGAGGGCAGGGCCCTGATCCTCCCCTGTGGATGGGGAGCTGGGCTGGGGTCAGACACAGGCTCTGCCCGCGTGTTCAGGCTGCCCATGGAGAGGACGGGCACAGGCTTAGCCCCGGTGCCTGCGTCGGCCCCGGCAGCCTGCAGGAGGCTGGCCCCAGACTCACTCGGTGCCTCCGACAGCCGTGCAGACACAGCGTCCTCAGCCACCTCCTGCCGCCTGGAGCCAGCGCAGCTTAGAGGAGGCCGCTGAAGGGCACTGGATGCCCAGAGATGACCACCTGGTGCTGTAAGCTGGGCCTGTGCCCAAGCACATAGTGGGGACACTGACCCTCCGTCCACCAGCACAGAGCTACAGGGCAGCCCAGCCCCTGGGGACTCCAGCCTGTCCCCAATGTCAACAGCAGCTGTTCATGTATAGAAACATGACACAAATGTGTGCGTTTATGTATGTTGATCAGACTGTACAATTTAATGTATATCAGTTATGCCCAGTGTGAAATAATATGAACTATATATACACATTGGTCTCCGTCCTTGGCTCCTGCTAATATTTGGTCTTTGACCCCACTTCCTCAAACCCTTGTCACTTCCTGAATGATGGGGGCATTGACACAGAGCTCTTGAATCCCCTGGAACTTCCTGGGTGACAGAGGATCTCTGGTTCTAACAAGGCAAGTCTGGGTGGCTCCTGGACGGGACTCGGTACCACAAAGACTAAGCCACAGTTAGAATGTGGAACTTTCAGGCCTCCCCACCCCCAGCCTCCGGAGAGGGGGCGCTGGGCTGGACGCTGAGCTCACAGCTGACTGTGCCTGCCTGATGACGTGCCCTCAAATCCCACAAGTACAGGGTTCAGAATTTCTAGGCTGGAGAACACATCCACGTGCCAGAAGGGTGACGTGCTGCATCTCAGATGCTCAGGCCCCTCCAGACCTGGGCCTCCGGACACTTCACCTGGCTCTTCACTTGGATCCTTCATCCTAGTCTTTAAAACTGTAAGTATTATTTATTACATAAGACATGTTTCCCTGAGTTCTGTGAGCTGCTCCAGCAAATTATCAAACCTGAGGAAGGGGCTGTGGGAACCCCGATTTGCAGCCAGTTGGTCAGAAGCCCAGGGGACACCTGGAGTTGGTGTCTGAAGGGGGAGCCGTTTTGTGAGACTGAGCCCTCCACCTGTGGGATCGATGCCACCTCCTGATGAGATGACTTCTGGCATTTGCTTCAGAATAACTGAGTGAGGGGTACAGACAAAACGGAAACGGCCATGAGTTGGCTGCTACCTGTTGAAGCAGGGTGATGAGTCGCGGGGCTCATTATGCTGGTCTTTGTAACATACAAGAGAAAACTTCCTGAGGAATTGTTTTCAGACTTCTCAAGAGAAGCAATGTAAACCAGGAGACAGAGGAGTGATGTCTTCAAAGTTCTGAAAAAATAAAAGCCAAACCAGAATTCAATACTCAGCATAAATATTCCCACAGGAATGAACATGAAATAAAAACAATCAGACAAATCAAACACAGAATGTGTCACCTGGTGACTTGTACTTCAGGAAATGCAAGTGTTCTTCAGGCAGAAAGAATATAACTGCATACGAAAGTTCAGTGATGCAGAAACGACAGAGTAATGAAAACAATACTGATGGGTAGAGAGCGAGGTGTGTGGTGTGCTCACTGCCACTGGGGGCCTTTGCTTCTAGGCCCTTCCGATGGATTAACTAAAAACCACACACACACACACACACACACACACACACACACACACATTGACATGCATGTAATAAACACCCTAACTTCACGCTGACACCTCCAATTTCAACCCAACACCACAGGATCATTCTAGCCTCCTTTTTTCCGTCTTTGTAACTTCTTTCTCCAGCAGTGAGAAATCTGGCCCCTGCCACCTTAAAAGGTTTACGCATTGACTCAGTTCTACAATACCCAGAGAGTCGTTTCAGAAGCTAACCCAGGAGGGAGAACAAGCTTTCTAACTAGAGATACTAGTTTATAAACGTCTGTCTTTGGGCTTGAGCATATAGAAGCAAGCATTGTGTCCAAGAGGTTCTCGGGTCAGTTTTCCCTCTTCAGGGTGGTTATTTTATTCATTTTAAGCAGTTAGTCTCTGTCGGTAATACAGCACAGAACTAGAACAGGGAACCACAGTCTCATGGAGAACATCAAAACAAGACAAAACTGATCCGCTATTTCCTCAACTCCAGAGTATAAGCCGAGGACAAACCATGCACACACACAAGGCCTGTACGGTACTGGATCTGCACAGGAGAAAAGAGAAGGAAGCCTTGGGCATGTGCCACACTGATAATGCCCAGGGAGCCCACAGGTACTCTGGCAGTGCCAGGACCAGGCTGCTGGAATCAGGAGGCGTGTTCTTGGCAGTAAAGCAGGGGGGCTCGGGGCCCAAGGGGAGGCCCACAGCAGCTGGACCTGAGCTTCCTTCCAGGGCAAAGACCCGCAGTAACGAGAAACTGCTGGGGAGAAACTCGAGGACGAAAGAACACAGGAAAGAGAAGGGCGAGAAGGGCGAGGGGACACCCCGCGAGACCTCGGAGCCAGCCACTGTCCTGAGTGGCATGGGGAGGACCTCTGTGCAGCCGCTGCTCCAGACAAGCAAAGGAAGTGCAGAGCTCAGGATTAACCGGGGGCCTGCACACCCCGAGGAGCACTAATGCAAGAACGATCGACCTGAGACAGCAGGCTGTGCACATGACCTCCCACCCTTCCTTCCCATGAGCAGCCATGAAGCCAGCAGCTCCACAGCCGCGGCAGGTGTGCAGATCCACAGCCTGGCAGGCACCCGAGGGGGCAAACCAGGTCTGCAGCCCCTCGAAAAGCCCCCCTCTCTACAACACTGTCACTATTTGACCTTTGTTACAGGTCCCTAGGAAAGCCCCATTCACAGAGCACGGTTGCTATTTGACCTGACTTGGAGCTTGTTTTGTGGGTGTTAGTTGAAAACAAACAGCTGCGCTTTTTTCTTTTTTAACATCACAGCTGCCTAAAGCTACACCACCAGGTGAGGCAAGCGAGAGCCTGGGAACCAGATGTCTGCAGTGAGCTTTGAAGAGCGCTGACAGAGTCCTGGTGACGTCGAAGGGCGTGGGCATGTGCAGAGCTGTGCACAAGCCAGGAAAGACTGAGGTGTTCCCTCTGGCTGACCCTGAAGCCCTGTGCGAGCAGAAGGTGAAGGCAAGACAAACTGCTTGAGGACAAAGGCCTGTCCCAGCACATACATACACAGGTCCCCTGGCAAGGGTGCCAGACACATCTGTTCAAAGCATTTAAGGAAATCTCTGATTCATCAGTAACTGACCACCAAGCTCAGCAAGCAGAGATTTAAGTGATCAAACACTACAAGGAATACAGACTTTTCAGAATTATTACAGTAAAGTCACTAATGAAACAAATAGGCAAAAACAGAACAAAATGAACCCTAGCTATAACAACAAACTCCAGAGGGAGAGGGATCTGATGTCCAGTTTTCAACAAAAACAAAACTATAGCGGAATCTGTTGGATGGGGCTTTGCTGACCCTTGCCTCACCTCTGCAGTGGGCCACGCAGTGCTGGCCATCAGTGGCACGGACGTTAACGGCAAGCACACAGCTGATGAGAAAGAGGTGTTGGAGTACCTGGGCAGCCCTTCTAACTACCCGGTGTCCGTTTGGTTCGGCCGACCCCGCCTTACCTCCAATGAGGAGCTCATGCTGGCCTCTATGTTCCACTCGCTGTTCGCAACTGGCTCCCAGCTGTCTCCTGAACAGGGCAGCTCAGGCACTGAGATGCTGGAGACAGACACATTCAAGCTACACTGCTTCCAGACACTGACTTCGCCCTCAAGAATCCATTCTACTCTCTGGAAATGCCCATCAGGTGTGAGCTGTTTGACCAGAACCTGAAGTTAGCCCTGGCGGTGGCAGAGAAGGCTGGAACTTTTGGACCTGGGTAATAGGCTGAACATGCAATGGACACCCCTCCCCACAAATTCTGAGCGATCCTGCAGCAGAGGCCCTGCTGTCTCCACTCCAGTGGAGAGCCCAGCAGCCTTGTTAGTGCACTTGACACTAGGATGTTGAGCCTGATGACGTGTACTGATCCCCAAGCCTTAAGACCATGCTGTCTTCCCTCCTGTATGTATTATGGTCCTACTTCCCAACTCTGTACAGATTTATTTATGGAGGAGGTAGGCCCATGAATGCTGTAATAAACATTCCTTTGATCTCGGAAAAAACAAAACAAACAAAAAAACCCAAAAATATTATAAGACACACACAGAAGCAGGGAAATATGGCCCCCACACATGAAAGTAAAAAGCAACTGTCCCTGAGGGGCCCAGATGTTGGACTTACTAGACAATGACTTTACACTAGCGATTATAAATATGTTGGAAGAACTAAAGGAAACCACGTATAAGGAAACGAAAGGAAAGCATGCCAAATGTCTCACCAAATACATATCAATAGAGAGAGAGAAATTATAAAAGAGAACCAAGTAGAAATTATGGAGTTGAAATATATAGCGAAAATGAAAAATTCATTAGAGGGACTCAATTGCTAGCAGAAGAAAGAATTAGCAAACCTGAACAAAGGTCAAGTACAAAAACTAGACAAAATCAGCAAGGACAAAGACCATCAAGCTATGTGAACTAGCAGACATCTATAGAACACTCCATCCAACACCAGCACAATATATATCCTTTTCACATGCACATGACACATTCCACGGTACAGACCATGTGCTAAGCCATAAAACAAGTATTAATACATTTAAGAGGACTGAAACTATGCAGGTATGTCCTTCAGACACGAGAGAGTTAGATGATAAAACAATAGGAAATTTGAGAAATCAATAAATATATGGAAATAAAAACACATTTCTAAATAATTCATGGGTCAAAAAGAAATTCCAGGGAGCACTTGAGATCTTGCTCCTTGGTATATACGTCAGTTTGGCTCAAATAAACTTTTATAAAAATTCATGTTTCTCATGTCCACACCTTCCCTCCTACAACTCCTTGCCACAGTATATACAGATGCGTGTGTGTTCCTCCCCACTGCTGGGCACAGTTCTATTGCAGGAGAAAGACCTTCAGATATTTGCTCCTAAGCCTGGACCAGATCCTCCCTAATTTCCCTGCGACCTAAGACAACAAACAAACGAGCTGGCCGAGTGGCGTGTTGGTTAAGAGTTGGCTTGGGACGCCAGCTCTGAGCAGCAGGGCCCCGGTTCGGATCCCACATGAGGGCCAGTGACGCTGTGCCCTCTACAGCTAAGATGGGGAACAACAGCTCAACATGGAGCTGGGCTGCCGTGAGTCGCCGGCGACGGTGTAGGCTGCAGTGGGGCTGGCCGGCAGCTGGCGTGAGTTTTCATGTGCTGCCATGAGCCGCCGTGAGCAGCCGTCCAATGGCCGGCGACCCATCTCCCTCACCCGGGAAGAGAGCAATGATAATACCAACATGGGCCAGTGAAGCAACGTCCTCCACAACTAGACTAAAGAACAAAAGGACAGCAACTTGTCTGTTCCCCTTCCTCGATTCCCCAAAGCTGTTCCCTCCCCCAATTTCCCAATACAATCTTAATAAAGTGTATTTCCTAGCCCCGTCCACCAGAGAGGCGCTTACAGCAGTGGTGTCAACGGACCGTGCACACGTGACACCCAGGGCGTGGTTTCTAAATAACCTTTCTGCACTGAAAGGAACTGAAGCACTTTGGAGAAATGGCTCATTGCAGGCCTGGAAAGGGAAGGGAAACGTGCCAGAAAGGAAGTGCTCCCAGACGATGGGTGAGAGGTTACAACTGCATGAACATACAAAAACAAAAACAGAAGACGTTAGTAGACTGTACCATAATGAATGAATAAAAATCCATTAGCCTGCACTGATAGTCAAAGAAGAAGGAAATATAAAAAACACGGAGGTAAATATTACAACCAACTCCTTCACCTGAAAAGTGGTAGAAAGGGAGAGAATTCAGCATTTCCCTGCCTCCTTAGGATGTAATGGATGAGAGAAACATAAACAAAATAAAGAACAGCAGCGCTAGAAAGTTGGCTCCGGCCCGGAGGGACCCGCTCCGAGGAAGGTGTGGTAGGGTGCGGCCTGTGTGAAAAGGGGCTGCCGTCCTGCCAGAGAACAGGGCAGACACGGGGCAGAGGGGCACTTAAATGGCATGGCATGGAAACAGCAAATAATTCCAGGACATGGGACATTCACAAGACACTGGCCTAGTCTCTTCAAAGTCAGTGTTGTGGAAAAACTTGGGACGGGCGGGGGAGGGGGTGTTGCTCCAGAGCTAAAGAGACGTAAGCAGCGATGCACTCCCCCGGATGCTGGTTTGGAAAGAAACAGCTAATGACAGCCAGGGATAACTGGGGAATGTCAGCGAGGACAGTGCTGTTGGCTGTAGAGAAGAATATCCTTTTGCCTTTTCTTCGGAGGAGAGGGCATTAGAGGTGACGTGATGTGCTATCTGCAATTGCCTTTGGGAGAGCCCGGCAGCCACCTGATGGGCGGGAGGGGCAGTCATGGCGACGCTGTCACAGGGCTCTATCCTGTGGTGGGACGATGCTTTCAACCCTCTGTAAGCTGGGGACTTCATAATGTAACCTTGAAACACTGATGCATGTTTGTTTCCAAGTCAAAGTACACGTGCTCTCCAGGAGCTGTCAAGTACAAGGAAGGAATCAAAGGTGAGTTGCGACAGTCCTGCCGGCAGCGCGTCTGAGGGGCCAGTGTTCCCACCAGGGTTGGGCAGCCAGGTCGGGTCTACATCTGGCACCATGTCAGCATATGCAGAGGGTATGTGGCCACAGCTAACACGTTCCAGGGGTGGCGACAGCATCAACTGTCTCAAAGCCAAATGCCAGCAGGAGCTACTGTGCCCACGCAAAGGAGACTACAGCTCTGCACTGGCTAACCCCAGATGGAGAACCCAGACCACAGCAGAGACAGCTGCTAAGGCTGAGGCCTCAGAAACCCAGAGCCAGAGCCCTCTCCACGAGATGCAGTCGGACGCCGTGAGAAGGCTCCCTGGAGACAAAGCGCACGCCAGGCCAGCAAACAGGCCCCGTTAAGGTCCCTGTTCCACCTGGTATGTTCTGGGTCACAGGCCAGGGCTCCCTAGGTGGTTCTCCTTTACCCGACACCAGCATCCTTGTCGCTGACCTCTTCCTGTGGGGTACAGGGCAGTCCACCAGTGACAGGTTTGAAATTGCTGCTGTGGCTGGAAGCTGCTGGAAGAATCTTTAAAGTGTCCTTTTCTTACAGGATGTGGAACACGACCCCTGCGACAGGGTGACGGAGCGTTCCGGGAACAGCACCCCGACACTGTTCCCTCTGCGGTGAGCAGGCGAGCTGAGCTGACCACAAGGTGAGGCTCAGTGAGCAATGGCCTTGGACCAAAGCTCAGCCCTTCCGTTTACATCTGCAGGGGTGGTGAAGCAGGACAGAGCAAGTGCAGGGCCATATGGCCAGAGCAAGGAGCCACCACCCCGCGGTGGGCCGGCAGGGTTGCCCTAGCCCAGCCCGCCCAGGCCGGTATCAGCTGTGCGTATGGCACAGACGTGGCTGGGAAAGAGCTGGAGCCCAGCTGCTGACAGGCCTCTCCTGACGGAGCTCGGAAACTAAGCAGAGTACCACCTCAGGAGCACGAGGGGCGGGGGGTTACTGACAGGACAGGCTCAAGCAGAGGGGCCAGACTCCACCCCGTCGCCCCCAGGTCCTTCGGGATGGACTCAAGGTCCTTTTGCTCCGAGAGGCAAGGTCTGCCGGGCACGTGTCACAGTGCCCGCCACCTATGCCCTCGCCCGTCCAGATTTGTCCTTGGAGCACTCACTGGCTCTGGCCCACGTCTATCCATCACTCTTAGGCTCTCCTGGGGCGGGCCTGCTGTTGAACAGCACCGCTGCCCAGCAGATGGTGCAATGCCAGGTGCAGGGCAGAGGCGGGTTGGGCACCCGTGTCTCTCCCGTCCCCTTTGCCTCAGAAATAGGGGGCATGAGAAGAAAAGGCTTTTATTTCCAGCAGTGCCTTCCGGAATTTCAACTACCAAAAGCACATATCAAATTAGCAAGGAAGTGAGCTGCAGTATTCTAGACTGACGAAGAATTCAGGTGATGAAAGGTGGAGTGCGGGAGAAAGATGGGGATGCAGAAGAGCTGGAAACAGGCTGTAACCCAGACACTGGAGAGAGGCCAGAATGGGGAGGCTGTGGGCAGGCAGTAAGAGTCAGAGGCTCTCTAAGACATTCTCACGCAGCTAGATTCAGCAAAACACAAAACACAAATAAGAACAGATCCCTACAGCTTCCATCTTCAAGATCTGAGATTTAAATAGTGACTTCAAAATCCAAGAGGAATTAGAAGACTGACAGTCGCTGACTCTAAGAAACTGCACATTTTGTGCAGAGAAGCTCCGGAAACAACGCTGGTGAGGGGCAGTCGCAAGGGCCTCTAACCCCATCGCAGGCTCCACGCTCGCCACTGTGCCCAGCGGTCACTCACCTGATCTGCTCCCCTCACAAGGCAGTCA